GGGGGGCAGTAGAGGGAAACTGAGGTCCCGGGAGGGGACTGGAAGAAGTCAGCCTGTGTTCCATGCTTTGCAGGAGCTGTCTCAGATGCAGACCAACATCACTGATACCAGCGTCATCCTGTCCATGGACAATAACCGCTCCCTGGATTTGGACAGCATTATCGATGCCGTGCGGATTCAGTACGAGGAGATTGCACAAAGGAGCAAGGATGAGGCTGAGGCCCTGTACCAGACCAAGGTGAGCATCTCTATCCCCAGCCCAGGCCTGGTACCCTGAACCGAACATACCTCCCAGAACTTGTATTGTCTTTTTCTTATTTCTAAAGTAAAACATGTTTGCTATAGAAAATTTCAAGATTACAGCTAAAGATTACTCATATCCCACTACCAATATGAATATGTCAGCATATTTTCCACTCGTTCTTTGTAGCTAACCTTTATTGAAAACTCACACATATCAGGTACTGCACTAAGTCCTGTTATACATAGAATTTCATTTACTCCTTACAACAACGCTATGAGGTAAAGATTCTTTTATTGTTTTACCAATACCAGAGTATGAGGTTACCAATTTCCCTTGGCTCTTATGGTTTGGAAGTAGCAGAGGCAGAACTTAATTAAATTCAGGTATACCATCTACACATCCATGCTGTCAGCCACCATGATGTTTTCTTATTTTTTTCATAATTATATCTTTAAAAATATCTTTTTATATTTTTCTCTTTCATTTATTACTTGTGAATACCTTTCTCTGACATTAACTATTTGACATCATTTTTAAGAGCAGTGTGGTATTTCATGGTAAGAATATGTCTCCAGTTTTCAGATAAACATCTTTGTAGCTAAATTTTGGGGCACATCTTCGGTGACTTGTTTAACATAAATGGACTCGGAACTTTCTGGAGGGCGAACACTGCAGTTAAGAGTCAAAGGCCGGTCACTAAATTCTGAACACCTGGCGTTGGAGATTTGCTTTGTGGATTACCTGTGACCAACTCCAATCGTGGCTGGCCTCTATCCCACTGTCCTGTAGGCAGGTGTTCTGAGTGCCAGACGGGGGAGACATATGGTCAACAGTGAAGACTTCAGAATGCAGAGATGCACTTGAGCCCATGCTCTCCCTTGTTTTCTTCAGAGGCACCCCTCTCTGCTTCCTCTGTAACAGTCATTGAGCCCCGGTTTTGTCGATGGCCTGCAGGTGGAGGTCCTCATGATGGGGCCCATAGACACAGGAATGGAGATAGAGAGGAAAATGTGAATAAAGAGGGAACATGCTGAGGGCTTCTGAAGAAGTAAGGTCCTGAGTGTTAGAGAAATCATTCTGGAAAAGGGGAGGAAGGAATGTGGTGGGATGGGAAAAGTGAGAGGGGCCCAGTATGGGCAAAGTTTAGATGTGGGAAAAAGGAGGTAAAAGGGTGCATCAAGAAGTAGGTTTGTCTTGTTTGGTTCTGATTCTGAAACTCTGTCTCGAGATACAGGCACCTGTGTGTGTGTGTGTGTGTGTGTGTGTGTGGTGTCACAGTTCAAATGAGGGAGGTTTGGTACAAGTTTAAGTGTATGTATGCGGGATCACAGCTCTAGGGAGGCTTACTCTGGGACCTTCCCTAGGGGAGAGCAGCCTTGGGCAGGGTCTGGGAAGGCAGACTCACTCTTTCCTGGAGAAGTGTGTGATGAGCAGCAGGCTGACCATGATGCTGCCCTTGACCCTCAGTACCAGGAGCTCCAGATCACAGCGGGAAGACATGGAGACGAGCTGAAGACCAGCAGGACGGAGATCTCCGAACTCAACCTCACCATCCAGAGGCTGCAGGCAGAGATTGGCAACGTCAAGAAGCAGGTGAGATGGATGCTCAGGGTGGCTGATCAGAGCTTCTACCTCCCATAACCCTCTGCCTCATGAAGCTCTGGAAACTCATGCCCCACATGGTTCTTCTCCTTGACTGTCTACCAAGTAGATCGAGCAGGTGCACACCATCATTTCTGATGCAGAGGAGAGGGGACACCAGGCCCTCCAGGATGCACAGCAGAAGCTGCAGGACCTGGAGGCCGCCCTGCAGCAGTCCAAGGAGGAGCTGGCCCGCCTGCTGCGTGACTACCAGGCGCTGCTGGGAGCTAAGCTGTCCCTGGACGTGGAGATTGCCACCTACCGCAAGCTGCTGGAGGGCGAGGAGAGCAGGTGGGCTGTGTTTCCAGGCCAGAGCGCAGGCAGGCTGCAGCCCTGGAGCAGTGGGATTTTTTAGAGTTCCTATTTATACAATCCCAGCTTTCCTGGGAAGATAGGTAGCTCAGGGTGAGCAGAAAAGTTCAAGTCAGAAGCAGAGGACGTGTGAGTGGGCAGCATCATTGTCATCATTGTCCTGTTCCCCAGTGCAACGTCTCTAATACCACTACTTAAGCCACTGCTGCCAGGTGGCGACCCCCAATGCTAAGAGGCCTCACGAAAATGCTTCAAATCCCCTCTGCCTGCACTGGTTTCCTGACCTCCCTGCTCCCAACACACCTCCCCTGCTCCTGATGTCTCCTGGCTGATGATTGCTTTCCTTCAGGCTTTGCGGATAATGCTGACTGTGCGCACCTTGGTTTTTACAGGATGTCAGGGGAGCTGCAGAGCCAAGTGAGCATCTGTAAGTAGCAGAGCCCAAGAGTGGGGCTGGTTGGGGCTGGGGGAGGGAGGGCCCATGAGAAGACTGGCCAGCAGAAATCTGGCAGCAGGCATTTTGTGTCCAGTCCTACACAACGGAAAGCAAAATAAGCAAGGACAACTGCACAGCCCAGAGAAATAGCTTGAAATAATACACGACCTTACTTCTCCTTTATTTTGATTTTTATGATGCCTAATAATCAGCAGCGGCTTAGAATTCTTCAGGGTGTAGCAATAACGAAAATGCGCCCTGACATCCCTTTGTATTAGGAGGAATACTTCTGAAATGGGGGAGACTTTCATCCATCCTTTTGGCAAGTCATGCTGCCAGTGATGAAGGATGTAGGGGGCTGCTCCGAGGGTAGGTGCAGGCAGGTCCGCTCTGCCCAGTCCTCTGACCCACGTGTGGGCTGTCCTTGCCCCCACAGCTGTGCAGAGCAGCCAGCTCACCATCGGCGGAGGTGCCCGGGGCTCTGGAGGTTACAGCGGAGGCGGAGGTTACGGAGGCGGCGGCGGTTACGCCGGCGGCAGCAGCAGTGGAAGCTACGGCGGCGGGGGCTTCCGCGGGGGCTCGGGCGGCTACGGAGGGGGCTCTCGAGGGGGCAGTGGAGGCGGTTATGAGAGCGGCGGTGGGAGCCACGGAGGGAGTAGCATAAGTAGCAGCAAGTACCGGGGCAGAAAAGGCGGCACCTCCGGAATGCAGATAATCCAAACGTCTACCAGCACCTCCCACAGGCGAATCCTGGAGTAGAGCGCCAGGCTTCCGGGACGCCAGGCTTCTGCAACGCCTCGCAAGCACCACTTCCTGCCCCCCACCCGCCACGCCTTCCTGACCCCCATCCCCTTACCTTTTCCCGATGGGTCTCAGCAGTTTTGCCAATAAATTCCGCTCTAGACAGGGAATCAGGTGGATAATCCCAAACGGAGATCTCTATTTGGAGGGCACTGACCGGTAGTCCAAACACAGCCCGGCACATTCTCAAGTCAGATGCCTCAGCTGGCCCTGCTTCTGTCCTTGGGGACACTTGCAGATTATGGAGAGTTGATGTCGAGTATACCAGGTTTCTCATTCCAGGCTCTTTTTCTCGCTCCAGGCTCCCCTTCTTGCACCTGGGATCTCTGTGAATAATTCATTCCTTAGGGCTGGGATTCCCAACCTTTAGGATCTAATATTAGCCTGATGACCTGAAGTAGAGCAGATATAATAATAGCAGAAATAAGATACACAATAAATGTAATGCAATTGAATCATCCAGAAACCATCTCCCCCCACCCTCTGGTCCAGGGACAAATTGTCTTCCACAAAACCAATCCCTGGTGTCAAAAAGGTTAGGGAACGCTGCCTTAGGGGACTTGAAAATGAGGTCTTTGGCTGAGTAGCTGAGGACAAGGCAGGCCAGCTTGGTAAGGAGAACTTCTGTGCTAGGGGTCGATTCCTGCCTCTGGATCTGTAGCCCCATCCATTGCTATTGCTAGAGAGTGTGGATTTACCCATCTGACACCTGTGAGTCCTGTCTGGTCCTGATTCTGAATCTCTGTGTCAGGAAACATTATCTCTTGGGTTAACAGCCCAAGACGGGGTATCCAGAGAGCAGAAATGCTTGTCCACAGGGAGGACTGTAACTAGCAGTGAGTGAAGGAGTCGATGGACTGCAGTCTGGTTCTATTCTGTCCTGACTTCCTTTGGAAGCTCCATTCTTTGGAAGTGTGGCCTTCCTGAACTCTGCTTCATAATGACCTTCTGGAGAACTGCCCAGCAGGCTGGGCACGTTCAGCCCAGCACTGATCTGTCCAGGTGCCCAAGCCCTGAGGAGTTTGAGAATCACACTTGGGTTTTGGGAAGGTTCAACCCTGAACTAGTCTGCAAGCTGCCCGTTGTTAGCACGGTATAGCTTCATGCTCCTCCTAGACTGCAAAGTCCTTCCTGACTCCTGTTGTCGGTGATTCTCTCTTTGTGAGACTCTGTTTATTTTGGGTCTCACATAAGATACTTGAGATATGCTGGAGAGGACAGGATGGGGAAAATATGGCCAACTAAGGGGGCCTTGTGGGCCTTAAGAGAGGGCTGGCTTTGCTGCTTAGATCTGGATTCACCTCTGCTTGTTCGCTGAGTCCTAATACGATAGCCGTGTCCGTGACACTCTTGAGGCATCTGCTGGACTCAGTGTAGGTTCCCTACGAAGTACTGTGACCTCATCATCTCCTAGTTGAAGGTTGTACCTTGAAGGGCTTGACATTTCTAGTGTCTCTACAATAAATTTTCTGTGCTCTCCAAACTGTTGTTTGATCACATTAGTTTATTCTTTTTTTTTTTTTTTTTTACTTTCTGCAGGCTTCTGGAATTATTCATAATTGAAAAGTAAAGTTTACAGCTTTTATTAGTTTTTTATTGCATGAGTAATAGTTGATCCTCAAAAACCTTGCACACACAATCATACTAATATAAACCTTAAAGTGGCTGATCTTTGAAAAGTCAGTTACACATTTGTTCAGGAGGAATTTGTTTTGCTCCCATTGTGTGGCAGGCAGTGGCCTATGCACTGGGAATGTGATGTTAAATGAACACATTTCGGAATCTGAAGGCACTCACAACACGAACGGGGAGGGTTCAGTGGGAGAGGAAATTGGAGTGTGGGCCCCCATGGACCCCCTGGCCTGAGGGTGGAAGCAAGGCCATATTGAGGACAGGGGCAGACCCACTGCACAGGAGCAGTGGGGACCGCAGGCGGTGCACACGCTGGGGAAGGGAAGTTTGGTCCTAACTTGAAGGGCTGGAAAGTAGAACAAGTGGGGGAACAGAGTCAGAGCAGCTATGGACATGGAGTCAGGGAGGGGCCTCCAGACGGGGGAATGGTCTGCTCAGAGTCTTGAAGATCAGAAAGTGTGAAAGTGTGTGTGAGTGACAGGGGACAGCCAGGTAGGAGAGACTGAACTGGGGAGAGAAGAAGCTGAGGCCATTAACTCAGCAGAGTTTATGGTCATGGGTGTCTTTAACTGATGTCCCCGAGGGAGGCAGAGAGGCAGAAATTCAAGGGTGGAGCAGGTTAAGCCATCACCTTATCCTCTGTGGTAGTTCTGAGTCCGTGTAAAGGAGTCACGTAAAAGATGTGACCTGCTTTCTCATTCTCTGAAGGAATACAGATGGCATTTGGATATGGGAGTCATTCAAATAGACCTGCAACTCATTCTGATGAGACATCGTGTTCCCATGTGTACCCCTACATTCTCTTGGAGAAGTTTCTCCCCATCTCACCTGTCTTGGAAGCAGGCCTGCGGGGCAAGAACCGGGAAAGGGAAATGTGGGCAGAGGGGCTTCCCGAGGGGAGGGATAAAGGGAGCAGACAAATACAATTTCTACACGTCAAAGTCAAAGAGCACAAAGACCAGGATGGGAAGACATGGATAGACAGCAGTGAGTAGAAACATGACTGAAAGTATTCAGCTGACGGTGACAGCATATGAGAGAGTAGTGCCCTGGCTTCGAGGACAGGCATGGGGACCAGGAAGAGTGTAATGTGCAGAGCCTCCTTTTTCTCATCTGTAGAAACGGCCTAGAAGAGATGATCAAGATGGACAGGTGGGAACACAGCAGATTTGGCTCAATATTAGAAGCATCCTTTAATTGATCCTGATGTGAGAGAGGCCACATGGACTTAGCATATTGTAAGCAGAGGTTGGCTAACCATTTGGCAGGAGGTTGAGGGAGGGAGTGAAGGATGGGTGGGGCTGTGTGTATGGCAGCATTTCACGTCTTTGTTGCCCTAAGAGTTTGTGCAATGAAGCCTGAGAAAAAAGGAATTCTACTCTCTATTTTATATTTGGGAAAATTGAGGTCAGATGCCAGGGAAGGATCACATAATGGAGAGGCCAAGAGCTCTCTAACCAGGACTGTTTTCTGGCATCACCAGACCTATTTCAGGGTGTGGATTTGATTATCCCTGGGATCACGCACGTGTGTAGGATGTGTATGATATTCTTAGGGAATCCAAATTGGCTCTGGAAAAAAAATACAAGGGCAAGGCCAACCAGGGGCCATCTTTCCCATACTTCTCCTTCTGGGCAGGAGTTGGGATTGACTCAGAAAGCATGGCCCTGCCTTTTCTTTTCAGAAGCCCTGACCATCCCCATCATGGAAGACTGGGGGGCAGTTGGAGGGAACTATGTGCCTGAATCCAAGGATTCTTGGAACAGAGATTCTACAAAGCAGTGAGATGTGAAGGTCAAGGAGAAGTAAGGATCTTGTACTCTAAGGAGAAGTTTCACATGATATTCTGGGGCTGAGCAATGGGGCTGGGCTCAGAGACCAGAGGAAGTTTCCTGGTACAAATATTGTTTCTGTTAGAGACAAGGAGAGATCCCATCAGGAGCAAATACCTCTCATCTTTAGCTCATCCTGGTGAAAAACATGAATGGGTCCACTGTCCTTTACTATGTACAAAATGCTTTCACATGCATTCTCTCAGATGACCCTCACTGGCATTGGGAAAGTGCTGTGGAGATCACACGTGGTCCCTTCCATGGGCCATAAGGTGCGCCATCCCTGCTTCTGGTCCACGCTTTTCCTGCAAGGCAGATACTCAGAGGGAGAGCCAAGCAGATCCATCCATCCACCAGCAGAGGGGCGGACAGGCGGGAGCACGGCACCCAGGGCAGCAAGACTCCCAGGGAGAGTGTGCCAGCTGACCCTCCCTCTGGAGGCTGGGGCAGGGCGGGGAGCTCTGGGAATCAAAATGTAATCCCACCAGCTTCTCATCTACATAGATTTCGATCTTGAGACACAGTGAAGAGGAGGAGCAACCATGGCTCAATAAAATTCTGGCTCAATAAAATTCTCACTCTGTCTGACAAGGCGTTTCTGGGCTGGGAAAGTCTTTGGTCTAAGGAAGTCTCTAAAGAATGTCGCCTCACCCTCAGTGACCAGCCCTTTGGCCCAGGAGGTGTCTTCAAATTATAAGCCAGGGGCTCTGATGGTTCCTCTTCAAGCTCTGTGTAACTCCCATTCTTTTGTTAGAACCACTGCCCTGGTTTTTAATCAGCTTTCTGATCAGTCCTGGAAATTGTATGTCTTCAGATTGATCAATGCTATGTTGCAAGGCTGAGTTGGGAACTTGGGATGCTGGGAGCTTCTCCAGCTTGGAGGATCTGTTCTGAACATCCCAGTGCTATGCCTGAAGGGCTTTTAGGGGTGTTACGGTGATGTGGCCCAGCTTCCACACCTGTCGCAGTGTGCCCGGCTCCAGGGATCATCCCCGCCCAACAAAGCAGGCATCCCACAGGGAGGGTTATTACCAGCCTGGTCTAACTCCCTTCAGCTCAGGCGCACTCAGCGTTCCTTTCTGTAGTGATGGGCCCCTAGCTTCCTATTACAGATTTATGGACCCCATGATTCCCTTAGGTTTCTTCCCACAAGATGCCCTCATTTCAAGAACTTGAACTTCCTTTCCAGGTCTTTTCACTGTTTTCAGTGAACCATGGGGCTTGTTCCAAAGCTTTTCCTGATTATTATGTCTTCTTCTAGGTCCTTCCAAATGCTAAGGT